AAAAAAAAAAAAAAAAAACTGTTGCTCATGACTTCGTCTGCGTGAATATTAAAATAATAAAAAACAACCTACGTTAGTCACTGCTAATGTAGCTTTTTAATAATGTAAGAAATGGGCCCAGTAGTTTTTGAGCTATTTCAATACAAATGACCATTATGTTAGTATAGATAAGGTTGAATATGCATCAAATAAGAAAAAAATCAGACGTGACAAGAAGTTCATTTTTATCAAAAATTACACCTAGCTTCCAAGATTATCGTTTTTTTTTTGAAGTTTAGACTTATACATAGATAGCAGCGCAGTAGCACTATTTTATTTTAATCTGATGTTGAAAAATAATAATAATAACAATAACTCATTTACTCATACATAACTCAAAAACAGCCTATGTTACTCAGAAAACGTAGCTTTTTAATGGTTAAACTGTTTTTGAAATCGGCCCAGTAGTTTTGAGGTTATTTCAATATAATACATACAAAAATACAAATCTTTCCTGATGTTGCTGTAGGAGGAATACCTGAAGGAGAAGAAGTTTGACGCGGAGTTGTTCGCGTCCGCGCGCAGCACGGCGCTGTTCGAGGCGGTGGAGCAGGAGAAGTGCCCCGCGGACGTGGTGCGCCACTCGCTGCTCAACTACCTGCGCCACGGCTCGCCCGCATACAACAGGTGCGGACTCACACTTCACCCTTAAATGCGCGCTCTTGTATATTACATTCAACAAAAATATCAATTTGTGTGCTACATTTTTACCTTTATTATACCGATCTTGCATTAAATATGATTTTTCGATAAGTTTCAGAATCATGTCGTTGTTTATTATAAGACACGACCAGCCTATAATTTGCATTTGACAAATTTGATATACAGCTTGCTAAATGCAATATTCACTGCTGTATACAATTTTCAGAAATCTTGACGCTTAAATTCATCGCCATACAGAACGCAATTTTAGATGAAGAGGAATGACCTTAGGTCGCTATAAAACTAAACTAAGTAACCAGGCATTGGAGGTCTATATCGAGCGTCAAAAGTTGATAATGATGATAATCATATGCTTAAACAATTAGAGTAATAATAACACACTAAAAGCCTCATTTAGTTGTAATAAAATTAAGTAAAGCAGTATGTATGTATGTATGTATGTGTGTGTCAGGGAGCTGGTGGTGGCGATCGCTGCTGTGACGGAGGAGAGCGCGGGCGCGGCGGCGGCGCGCTGGCTGGGCTCGCTGTTCGCGCCGGCCGCCGGCACTCTGGCCGTCGTCTGTCATCCCACCAAGGTGGCTGACCTGCAGGCCGCGTTCCACAAGTATGTATCTACAAAAGCCCTAACATAAGAACCCAAAAATCTGCCCCTGGGGGCGCTTCAATAGACTTTTTATTATTTTGATCAGAGGCCATAAAAAACTCTACCGCCACTGGCGCGGACTAGCCATGCTTTTGTTGCAATTTTTAATTTATTTATAAAAAAATAGCTGTTGCTCGTGACTTTATCCACGTGGAATTAAAAAAATTTAAAAATAGCCTATGTTACGCAATGAAAACGTAGCTTTTTAATAGTTTGAAAATTTTTGAAATCGACCCATTAGTTTCGAGGTTATTTCAATACAATACATACAAAAATACAAATCTTTCCTCTTTATAATAATAGTAGATGTCTAAGATCAATGATACAATTAAATTATTAAAAACAAAACTTTAAACATAATTGACTAGAATTGAAGATGCTCGCGCTATACTGTTTATTTTTTGTTATAGAAATTAGCTTAGTTGTACCAGTTAGAGTAAACTTGACTTTATATCAAGAATTTCTTTCAGGCTTGTTGAGAATTAATATTTGATTAAAATAACGTAAAACTGTGTAATTTAAAAACGTTGTTTTTCTTTCCAGGATGAACATTAATTTGGAAGCATTCGAGTCAATGGAAGCATCTCACTTTAACAAATAAGCGCAACAAACTGTATTAATATTATTTGTAAATGAAATACTTAAATGCATGAAAAATACAAAATAATGTCAATGAATCCAAAACCACTGCTTGCCTGTGCCTTATTGAATGTATTGGTTTGATTTGTAAGGATCACAGTTTTATATACATTTAAATATTATTTGCATATAACTATTTTATAAATAAAACGATATAGTTATTGTGATGATTTATTTATCACCCTCCATCTTAAAGCCTTAATGTATGTCTATACAAAAAATATAACTTAAATTTAGTCAGATATTTTAGTAAACATTTATTATAAATCATCTCACAACCACTGCAACTTTTTTTGTAAAATTCAAACCCATCCATAGAATAATATCAAGACATCAACATTTATTTGCATTTGAACCCGAAACTTCAACAACTGATTATCAATACAATTATAAGGCTCTGCCAATATTAAACATTTTCTCGAGTTCGTAATATATCTACTTGAGCGCTTAACTAAGTTTTTGCCTCAAATCATTTGCAAAAGTTTTGTTTAAACAAAAACTTCCCAATATATGAGTAACAATATTGATTTTACTAAGTCCACTATAAATATGAATGATTTTTTTCCATTACTTTTTGTTGCATTTTTATTTAGTTTTAAAAAAATAAACTGGCCTACATTTACAGCTAACAAGTAGGCCATTCTATTGTTCATATCAACTTCTAACTTGATGACGTCATTCAAATATATTACTTTACATAAAGCGTTACTTACTGTAGTTAAAAATTGTACATGCAATGATATATTTACAGTTCCTTATGTTTTGCAACGGACTCATAGAAAATGATTACATTTCCGTATAACAAAAATACCTATATGATAATGCATCTCAAAAGCACCAAAATAGTACATAACAAATGTAAATTGTGTAAAATCAATCGTAAACAAACAAGCTATCGATTTTTAAACTAAGAGTTCTAAAACCATATAAAGGTGCTTTGAAGATGTGATTTGGTAAATGTTAATTATCTAAACCTAACAACTTACGACACCTCAGTGACGAAATACATTTTCCTAATAGAAGAACGACTAATTGGATTAATAACGTTACAACTAGGTAATAAAGAGGCGGCCCCGGTTCCTCTCCCTCGCTTCTCTCGCCTCATACAACTCACTTGTCACATTCTGTCCCAATGTCACAAAATAACATTAAAAATGATCTAACATATAGACCAACGAGGACATCTGACCCGGTGGGAATAAGAAACTAAATTATGACAGCTCACTAGCGCCACCTTGTCAATATCAAAAATTGGCAAGATCTTTGTTTCATTTGTATTTTTTTATTTGATGGCTTTTTATTCTAACGGGCCAGATATCCTTGTTTGACTATATCCCAAACCCGAAGTCATTTAAACCATAGTTGAAATACAAATGTTGGTAAATCCCTCTCGTAAAGCTGTTTTTGTAAAGGCTTTGTGTTGTGGCGGAATGTTGAACGAATTTTCTTCAAAGAAACATGAACAAACTGCTACTAGACATATAAAAACCGACGCCACAATATCTCCTGTTAAATAATTTCTATCATAAAATTGCTATACTGATTACATTTTAAAATATTTCTAATTTTAAAAAGGCATATTTTGCAGGTACAATTGCGACTTTGCTTTCGATTGTTTAAAAAAATCTACAACTGCCTATTTTAGTCAACACAGTAATGATTAATTATACGTTAACTATTACATAAAATACACCATAATGATGTGACAAAAAATTGAATGTCAAATAAAAAAATAAATACCATCAGGTAACATGGGAACGACCATTCCTCAGGCTCAAGTCTTAAATAAATATTGTTGGTGTATTTTACATAACTATATTATATTAAAACTGGCATAAACAATGTGTAATCTTATATCTATGTATATTAATTTCTCTATACATTAACTGCCGCCTAACTGCAGTCGCGCCCGCCGACGCTCACACGAGTTTCAAACATATTGATACATAGTAAAATATCACATAATGTGATTTTCTATATGTTCGTTTTAATGAAGTATTTCTAGTTTTATCACGTTCGAAAAAATATTAATTTTTGAACAAATTAAAATGTTTTAGCGACTAAATGGGTAGCGCTATGAAGGGGCAATTATTTTTGTTTGTCCATAATATAAATGCATTATCGATCGTGTTGAGATATCGTTGGTAAGGTTGGTGTGGTGCGGTGAGCGTGGGGGCGTGGGCATGTCTGTGGGCGCGTGGGCGTGTCCGTGGGCGCGCGTGGGCGGGGCCTACATGATGGAGTTGGTGTCGATGGGCGGGGCGTGGTTGCGCAGCGCCTCGCGGATGTAGCCGCTGATGTTGGCGTCGGCGACGAGGTGGAAGAAGAAGAGGCTCTCGAAGCTCTTGAGCGAGATGGAGCGCAGCGCGGGCAGCCGCAGCAGCAGCGACGCGAACCTGCCCTCCTCCGCGCTGTGCGACCGCCGGCAGTACTCGTCCAGGCACGAGAACATCTGATAATCATGTCAACATAAATTAATATTTAAAAAAAAAACCATAAAAATTTAAACTTCTACTGGTGTAATACAATTGTAGTGTGATATTGAAATTATAATTTGTCTATCTATCTGTGCCGAAGAGCACGTTTTTTCTCTCACTATCAAATAGTACACTATATTCTCCGAAACGGCTGAGAAGATTTTGTCAGAAAATAAGCTAATAAATGCCAGAATAATACGCTATTTTTTATGACTTAGCGCTGATAAATCGCGGGCCACTTCTAACAGCAAATAAACTTATTGGACATTTTACCAAATGTTAAAGCATAGGAGACATTGAGCATTATTTATCTTACCTTTTCCCGAAGAAGGTCAACTTCTAGTCGATTCTTCAGTCCTCTGATATCTGAAAAGATATTACATACAAATATGAATACATTTTCACATACAAGAAACAAGATACAAATAAATAATCAATATTATAATGAATATTCTATGTCATTCATGGGCGTTGCCACACAAGAAATTTTAAAAATGAAAAATACATACAAAAACTACATCGAATAGGACCATTATATGGTAGCTACCCCATAGGGTAGAGCCCCATGGTCTATAATGGTAGACAACGCTCAAGATTGCAATAATTAATTAACCTTTAGAGTGAACTTTATGTTTTTTATAACATTTTAATGTAGAGAACAGATTTGTATTTTTGTATGTATTGAAATAACAAAAAAACTATATTTCCGATTTCGATGAACTAAAAAGTTACGTTATCAGTAAACAACATAGGCTTTGATTTTATTATTATTTTTTAATTTCAGGCAGACGAAGTCGCAAGGAACACCTAGTCTTTTATATAACAAAACCTGTTATGTTCAGCTATATTACATTGTAGTGTAGTAATATCAGCGTATGTACTTTTAAACAATGTATTTAATGGATACTGTAGTGGACTGTATGATAAAATAAAAACTTCTTCTCGGAGATACTGACGCCTTTATTGCTACCAAGATACTGGACATCAAATAAGTTAAAAATTGTCTATTTATATTTTGCCGCGACCTCAATAACTGCTGCCTCGTGCCATGATTTTATTAGTTGTTGTTAAATCAAAGAGACCGCGTCCTTCGCCGCGCGCTGCCAAAGAAACATCAAAGGATGCCGCCCTTCGGCGGCGCGCGACGACAGGGCGGCCGCGGTCATCCGAGGTTACACGTGCCGCGAGGTGCATTCAAGGGCGGCACGTGTAACAGCGAGTAGGCATAGCAATTACGTCGCCAACAGATACTATCGTTTTAAACTCAGCAACACTTCTCGTCAAGACTCAGGATCGCGCGGGAATATCAATCCTCCTAATGACATTGACAGCTGTCAGTTAGGGATGTGACGTTTATGCCAATAATCTAGTGTTGCGCCAATTCTATAACGCGGTACTAATTTTCTTGTTAACAGTACCGGGGTTGAGCAGTATGATGGCCTTGAGCGCGACGTACTCCGCCTGGTCCATGCGCAGCGCGCGCATCTTCAGCGACAGCTCCGACAGCACACGGTCGAAGATCTGCCCCACGCCCGCCTGCAGCGCGGAGTTGCGGTGCAGCGTCATACCTGACACACACATTATAATGTAGAATTTACTAGCTTTTGCCCGCGACTCATTCCGCGTGGAATTATATTCAATTATAAAAATACAAAAGTAGCCTTTGTGTTCTTCAAGACTATGTTATACATCTACGCCAAATTTTATCCAGATCCCTTCAGCCGTTTATGCTACAAACTAACAAACTTCCATCCATCTGAACTTTCGCATTTATAATATTATTATTAAAGTATGATATACTCGTGTTTGTAAGAGTTTATAGCATAAATGTAGAGGATAGTCTGGAACAACACATAGGCTACATGCTTTTATTTTTTTAATTACATTACGGATTCGCGGGCAAAGCTAGTTGATAATAAAATAAAAGTCGTGAAGTGTTCAACACAAGGGGAGATAAGGAAATGCTTTTAACGCCTATAAACAGAATCGTGAGGAGTAAAAACGTAAGCAGTTAACTCATTTTTGTATTTTTGTTACCACGTAATTTAAAACTAACAGATTGAAGATAATACCTAGAGCTTATTAATTTACCCAACAAAAACTGTAAGTACATATTTATCTTCTATTTTAAACCAAAAAGCCTAACAAATGTGTCCCAGAAGTCCCTGAGATAAATTTTAATTCTAGTCTAAATTACTCTTCACACTGATTAAAGCAAACACATAAACCAGAAAAAAAACAAAAACATTTGCCGTTATTACAAAAATATAAGTTTTCTCAAACACTAATTATTAAAGTACATCAAAACTCACCGGGCATTAGACACATGAGCTGTGGCGTGGCGGCGCTCCGCGTGCCGTCCATGTTCTCCCTCTCGTCTTCTAAATACTGCATATACGAACAAAAAATCATTAAAACCTACATATATACATATTAAGTATCTTGGCAGCGAAAAAGAAACAAGAAAATAGTTTGAATAGAGTGCTCATGGTTAGCAGTTGATAAAGGTTTTGAACATAGACTGTACTAAAATCTTCACATTTTTAAAAAACACTGTATTACATTGTAAAGAATTCGGAGTTTACAAGTTTCACAATGTACCAACTAGATGGCGCTACAAGTATTAAATTGATAGTTACCTCCATTGACCTCCAGGCGATGGCAAAGAGCAGCAGTTCGTTCCACGAGCCCTTGATGAGCAGCACCTGGTCTTCCAGCTCGAGCTGGCTGAAGTGGGGGATGTCCCGCGCCCACACCACCAGCGCCGCTATCTGTTTGTTGCCTAGAAACAACCACCAAAAAAAATCAACACACTATATTTTTTGCTGAATTTTTTAACAGATTGAAAGTAGTAGTAGATGCAACACGTATTTTGTAAAGTTATGGATATTTCAATGGTATCTTTTATTATTTTTTTACAAAGAATAATACAGTCAAAGAAAAATTAAACAGTAACAAAATAAAAAAAAATGTTAATACGTCCAATGCAATTGTAAATAAAAATTTTACACAAGTATGTTCTCGTCAGATATGTTTAAAATATACTTAAATATCTATAAATATAAATGACTAAAAGAAAACTGTCAAAATCAACAACAAACACGATGAGGCGCGGAATTCCTAAGTAGTGTTTTGGACGTTTAGAATTCAACGACATTTAGAACCGGTCCAATATGCAAACGATATTATAATCAAAATATTATTTTCCGAGTTTTTTGTTCTAATGCAGCATTTGTTTATGTACGGAATTTTATTTTATTTATTTTATTTATTTATTTAACACTTTTGCACATATAGTATTATACAGGAAAGCTAAAATTAAGTAATATTAAACTTGCGCAAGGGCGGCCTTAT